CTAGCTCTTCAAGACCAACTAGGAAGTGCTGGTTGGTACATTGTTATTTATTTTCTGCTTATAAAAGTCAGTATTAAAGAGATCATTGTGCAAAACACTGTGTGAGTCAAAAAGAATTCAGGACTGCAGCACCACCCTCTTTGCTCATCCCTCTGCTCTGGAGCAGTGGGTCTTGGTTCCCTGTGCTCTGACTAGTGTTCTTGGCTAGAAAGTGAGTACAGGGAAATAAAGAACAATTCTTAGCTCACTTAACCTTGGGGTGTGTAATGGAACAGACAATGAATAGAAATATCTGTGTTTCTGAAAAAAAAGTTATTTTCTTTGATGTTATTTTTCATGTTATGTACAGGGAAGTATTGTTAAGTGAAGAGCGTACTTAAACTCATCTTGTTTTCTCTCCGTACAGAAAGAGATATTTGGGAATTCCGCCAATGTGTCAAGTTGACCAGAGAGATCTTTGCTCAAAAAGCGTTTGAAAAATTTTGTGGGCCTGAAATTCAACCAGGAGACCATGTTCAGTCTGACAAAGAAATAGATGCTTTCATAAGGCAGAAGGCTGATAGTGCTTATCACCCTTCCTGCACCTGTAAAATGGGCCAGCTTGCAGACAGCAGCGCTGTAGTGGATCCACAAACAAAAGTAATTGGAGTTGAAAACTTGAGAGTAGTAGATGCCTCCATAATGCCTAGTGTTGTCAGTGGGAATTTGAACGCCCCAACTATCATGATAGCAGAGAAGGCTGCGGATATGATTAAGGGGCTCCCCCCACTTCATGAGAGAAATGTCCCTGTGTACAGGCCCAAGACCCTGGAAACGCAGCGATGAACAACGTTCTCATTCTCGCACAGCCTTTGCTACTTTGCCTTTTAGCAGCATGTTGGGATCTCCTGCAGGAGATGCCCAAAAATAATTACCATGCAAAACAACATCTCATTGTTAAAATAATTATGAATTTGATCCACTAGACTATCACTAGGCTACCTAATGAATTTTTAAATCATTTGGCTCAAACGGTTCATTTTAGTTAAACATGGCTTTGGGGGAGAGGGGGAATTTTTTTTTTTTTTTAAGAGAAACTATTTCTAAATGATGGGTGAGTTGCACATGTAAGCCAGATACACTGTATAATTGCATGAAGAGATGAATGCATATTGCTTTGAAATCACTATGTTATGCTCTGTTAGTCAAAGGAAGGATTTTTAACTCTTGTAAGCAGGTTATCCAGGATAACAGCTAGCCAGTAATCCCCACATCCTGCCAAGACTGGCTAAGGAATTGTAAGCATATATTTAAAACTCGCCCAATCCTGAGACAACGCACTTTGTTAGCATTCCCAGGAGAGCGAGGACCTATACGTGCCCAGAATTTTTATTTTATTTTTCTAATGGGAGCAATGCAGAGTTTACAAACCCTCACTGAAAGTCAACTTCAGCCATACTCAGCATTCTTAGCCTACAGAAAGAAGATATACACTGTACTTACCAAACACTTGAATTATTTCTCTAAGAAGGGCAGAACAGGAGCTGAAAAAGTACATTGCAAAACTTGAATTTCTCCTGTCCTTTTGGTACGCAGCTTAGCAGCATTCCATTCACCGTTTGAGCTGCTTTGGTTGTGCCAGTTTATCACTGACTGCAGCGCCTGCACTTTCCATATCTTCCTTAAAGTTAGTGGCCTTTGCTCAGAGATGAGTCTCATCAAAAACAATTTCTGAGGAAGTATTCCGAATGGTGCCTGACTATTGCACGAGCTTTATTAAAAAAAAACAAAAACAAAACAACAAAAAATTAAAGCCAAGATAGGTTTAAAATAAGAAGTTACTCAAAATCACTGCATCAGATTAGATACAGATGATCTGTGGGTTTTTTTTTTTTTTTTTTTTTTAAGACAGGTAGTTTAATGAACCAATGTTTATACTTTAGTTAGGAATTATGTCTTTGTTTAAATATTTTCAGATGTGTAAAAGATGACATCATCTTTCATGGCTGTTTTCTGTGCAAGTCTTAACTTTCATATACCGAATAAAAGAAACTAAAGAAATTGAACTGAGATTTGTATGGGTTTATTAATTATTCTGAAACAACTAGTGACTAAGCAGTTGTAAAATCATAAAGCAAATGCTTCTGTGGCCTGAGTCATTACACTAGATAATGTAAATCCTAATCAAGGGACTGTTACCAGCCCACAGAGGATAACAAAAAACTCAGCATCCAACTTCTAGAAAATGCTGAAAATACTGTAAATACGGAATTTAGAGCTGTGAGTAACCTGCTTATAGTTTGCTCAGGCCTTTCAATGAATGGAAGAATAAAAGTTTTTTTTCCCCAGAAAAAAAGCATGGAATTTTACACTGTTAGAGCAGATTGTAAAAAAACTGCTGACTCAAATGCTGGCTAGAGGGACAACTGCAGATGTTTAAGGCAGATACTTCTACCTGGTGCTGCTGCAAAGCAGTGGTGGAAAGCCCTGCTATTAACTGAGGAGAAAAACTTAATTCACTGGAGTATCTGCAAAAAGAGTAAACGGAAACACTGAAGACAGAAAGCGACAGCAGTGAAGTCTGCCCCAGGAGGAGTCAGGTAAACCTTTTCTGTTTGATGTATTCCTTAGGAATCTAAGATGCAGCAAGAATATTTAAGTAATAGGTGATTGATTAGCTGTGTCAATAAGATACCTCATCTGATGCAACTGCTTTTGAAGAGAGAATGAACTTGTTTAGTCTTCCTTTCTATGGAAAATAGCTTTTATTTAGGACTAATGCTTTTATGATTTTCATTTAAGGTATCTTAGTCTCATTTGATTCCAAATACCAGGGTACTCAGAATAACACAATCTGGCACGACTTTCCAAAGTTCAGTTCAGTGGAAAGGGGAAGTGTTTTGTAAAGAGTGACTATTGGAGTCTCTGTGTCTGCAGGTTAATAACATGGGTTTGCACACTAGGCATGCACCATGGGAATTGCTGTTACACAACTGCAGAGGAGAAACTAGCCCCTGGCTTACATAACTACAGGACACACACAGAGCCACACACATTATGTCGAGCCTTAAAAGATGAGGAAATTGCAAGCTTACGTATACATGTCAAACTGCATGCACAGGTACACACTGCTGTTCTGTGCAACCACGTAATTAGGCATTTCTTTCAAAATATCATTACCTTTTCTAGAACTGCTAGAAATATATAGGTACCTGGCAAATTCTTCCCCTTCTAAATACTTAAATTATTTTCAGTGCTGTGAAGCTGCAGTTGCTTTATCTGTTTAGGTCCCACTGACACTGCTGAGTCTCCATTATATCATTCCTTCGATGCAGTCTTACAGAAACAGCCCAGTTATTTGGTAGTTTCAGCTCCCTGGGGAAATCTTTAGGTGTCCCAAAACCACAGACAGTTTCTCCTGCACTGTGTCTGTTGGCTGCTGCACATTTCCTGCTAAAACTGTTTGCCTCTGGGTGAGAGGAGAACTGCTACCAGGCACTGTGCCCAGTTCTGTGCAGCGCCTGCAGCCTGCTAGCTCGGAGTTAGCTGCTTTGCTGCTGTTTTGCTATTGTGCAGAGGACAGGAGGAATATTTTAGAGTCTTATCTATTTAAGAAAAGAGTATGGTGTCTAATTCAATCTTATTCTGAATTTTATCCAGATCATTTACAAAAAAAAAAAAAAGTAAGAGATACTTACATTAAGTATTTGAAAACAGTTAACTATAAAAGCATTTTGCCTTAAGAATTTGGAAGTTACTAGACCTGCCAGTGTGACCTGAGCCAGCAGCACCCTGTAAGTGACAGTATCTGTGTTTCCATGGCAAGGGCTTCTCGCGGATGTTCCAGGCAGTTGGAGGGCTCCAGCTGGGGACAATCAGATTAAGAAAGAAAAGCTGACCAAAACAATTTTTTTTGCACACACAGTTCAAGTTACTTCAGTATAAGAAACACTTCCTTTTCTAAGGATTAACTAAAATATTTTCTGTCATTATATACACACACATAAACAGTCTGAAAACTCATGAAGTATGTTTTAATTATACAACATCTAGTTTTTCTCTATTTTGTAACTTCTATGACTTTTTTGGTGGGGGGAGGGAGAAAGGGGTTCAGCTTCAAGCTGCCATAAAAATGGTTGAATTTTCAGAAATCCACAGCATTTCAACAGTGTGTGGAATTATGAACACTACTCACTGGTATTTCACAGTCATGTCAAATCTGGAGACTTTATTTTGCTCTCGTAAAGTTTGTTTTTGTAAGCTTGGAAAATGTAACAAATCAGAAGTGACTAATGCTGGGCCAGCTACCCACGTGTTTCCTCGCAGAAGGCAAGAGAGATTTGGTTTTGATATTTTTCAGGGGATTCATTCAGGAGTTTCCTAATTATTTTCATAGATTTGTATCTAGGGCAGTGATAGTGGTACCCTTTTTCATACCAAAACTCTAATCACTTTTTTTTTCTGGTTAATACCAATTATTCATAAAATACTTACTCTGAGAATGTAGACTAATGACTATATTCCACATATTCCCTTCCTCTGTCCAAACACTGCAAACAGAATTTAACTTTTTGAACTTCTTGGTGAAGAACTATTAGTAAAAGGAGTCCCATGTAAATAAAATTATTACACAGTTTTATTCTGAAGAACATTTTGCATTTGTTCTAATACAAAATGATGCAGGTCAAGAAATAATTTACAAACCTTTAAGTACTTATCCTGGCATTCGAAATAAGAATGATTCCAGAGGAAGTTTGTAAGGTATTCATACGAAATCATTATTATGTACAAAATGTTTATTGACATGTGTTAAACATCACATTTTTTAAAATGTGAGCTGGATTGCTTTCTAGCATATGAACTACAGGTAAAACCTGATAAGACAACTTGTTAGAACAAGTCATTGTTATCCAGTGCTAACAAAATAGACAGTAGTTTTCAACACTTTTGATTTTCCTCCAAGGTTATATTAGCCTCAAAGTCATACCACGGTTCTACTGCATTGTGAACAATATCTAAGCCCTCTTTTGATTGCATAAAAATAAATCTTTGAAATAGTATACGTAGAGCGACAGAAGGGTAGAGGCAACAAAGTAGTATATTTTTCACATAATAAACTTTTTTGGTTCTGTGAAGAACTTTTCTACCATATTTCTTTTCTGAGCAGAGTAGTACACAGCACTCAATAAAGTAATGTCACTTACCTGTGAAGTAATTTCTGCCCTAGATGTTTCACATCGGAGTAGGTACCTCAGGGTCATACACTTGGTCAAAACTAATTCTGTAATGGCCAGTGATACTCTGGCATGAACCTGCTGATTTTTTTTAATGATTTTTAATATTTATAGCATGGGATTAATACAAAAATAAAATCACAGCTTGTCGTCAATCAAAAAGTTAAAATAATTTCAAATCTTTCACGTTTCGATTATAAGACTGCAGATAGTCAACTGTACATCCCTTATGTACAACGATGCAATTGACTCAAATATTTAAAAAAAAGATGTTGTCAAGTTTAAACTTGATAGTTTATCCCAAAAAAGAGATTTATACTGAGAAGTGGCTCTATTTAAATATTTATGCTATAGATCTATATATTCCAAGTAAAAATACTTATATCTAGAATTCTGTGGAGAGTTACAATAGTCAGGGTCCATAAATATTGCTGCAGTTCAATTACGGTACAATAATTACAAAATATAGAACATCTCTTTACAAATACAAATCATTGTATATTACAATTCATTTACAATAATTTCTACTATATAATTTTTAGCAAACTATCTTATCTAATTCTACTATAACCTGGTTGCAAATGCATTAGTAAGAATGCAATTATTCCAGTATATTTTGCCCTTAACGTGATAGTCATAAAACAGACTATCTGAATGATATTATCCTATGTAAACTGGTGTTACATATGACAACAGTATCGAACTTCTTTTTTTCCATGATCTCTAACAGGTAGAGCATGACAAACTATTTTAGAAGAGCATTAAGAAAAGAAATCAGGAGGCAAGTTTGAAAACAGTATTAGGATGGATATGCAATGAATAGCTGATATGCTGTTGAGTGCTGAGGTAATGACACTATTGGTTGCCATCACTTATGTAGTCGTTCCCCACACAATTTTTTGCTGAACTTATACAGACATTTTCATTGACAACATCCTGCTCTACTATGACAGACAGCAGCACAAGTTTGAAGGACAGGCAAGATATTACACCTCAAAATCCCACTCTAGCCCTCAAAAAACTGATTGTCAGAATCTGCATGGTTTTGCAACAGCCTTTTCTTCCCATAGAGGAACCAAAGACTCCGTGGTAGGAGACTCGATGCACTGCAGCTCTCATCCCATTTCAGCAGCCTGGAGATAATCTGGTTATTAGTTATGGCTTCCTTGAGGTGTGACATCGCTTGTACAAAACTCAGTTGGTTCTTAACTCCAGCTAGTGCCTAGCATCTTTAAACTGTGAGGCACTTTTTTTTTTTCTGTTATTAAAATCATTTTCCTCACTATAAATACTATAAGCTTGTAATGCATATCATTTCATCCGCTAAGTCTTCTTCATATTGTCCAGTGTCTGGTTCTTCATCGCTGTATCCAGGACCAAAATCTTGAAGTTCATAATCTTGTCTGCTTAAAATGGGAAACATATCCCCATTGGTCCCATTGCTAATATTCCCATTGAGAAGATTGCTTGCTGCACTTTCCATCTCATCAATAGTCATGTCACAGGCATCAGCAATCTCATGTTTTGTAGCTGAAACAAATTTAGGGTCCTTTGCATACCTTCCTAGGCCTTCAGATATAAGTACCTGGCAGGCAGAGGGATGAGGGGGAGAGAATGAAATATTCAGTGCACTTACAGAGGAACAGCTAAATCATACAAATGTTTCTTATTTATGGAAAACTCTGGAAACTCCGTGTAACTCACTACAGAAACCCACAGCAAAACTGCATAAACGAAGAACAACCAAATAGCTCCAAATTGCACTGTATCAATTTAGCAATAACCTAACTGAACAACTTCTGAGCTAATATAAACGCAAGACACTTTGTTTGTTTGCTTAGAAACTTAGGAATCTCAATAAAATTCAAATGTCAGCTTGATGTACTGAAGACAAAAGTTTATAAATCTCAGATATTGTAATTGGGGCAACTGGCTGAATTGTAGAATTCTAGGTTCATTCTAGGTACTTAGGAGTTCATGAAAGCAAACTGCTGCAAGCAAATCCCATTTATAACCAAAATTAAACAGAAAGAAAGTGATAGATGGAAGCAAGAACAGTAATTAGGACCCTTAGAACTTCTATATACTTTTAGCTTAAAAGCCCCCTCCCTCCTTCGAAGGAGGAATTCCTAATTTTCTTGAATACATCTATAAAGCAGACCTTGTGGTCCTCCTCCACTCTTCTCTTATTAACTCACAGAGTTCTTGTTCTTGATTAGTGCAAAAACAGTCATGAATTTGGACCCTGCACAGAAGGAGCAAATCTCCATCTGTGATGCAGGAAATCTGACACTAATGTTAAGATTTGGATTCGGTGGAAAACCTTTACAATGGACAAAAAGTTCCCTTGTCTTCACCTAAAACATTTTGGCGTTGAAATATCACATGCTCAAAGAGGTAATGTGGACTGAACTATAAGCTTTTTACAGTTAACAACAATAACAAAGAAATAGAACAGACAGGCACTCTATTCAGAGGTTTCTGTAACACTTACCGCTTCCACCAAACTGTCCGCACTCCTCTGTTTGTCACTATGTTTATGCCTAAAGTCATTAGGTACAGTTAAACTGGCTGGTGTAAATGTTCGGTAGGAAATATCAGGGTCATCTGTGTACCAAGAGCTCCTGTGCAAAGAAGGCAGGCTGCCATTCATCTGCTCCGTGGATTCAGCCCTATCCACCTGGATCAGGGGTGTGTAGTACGGCGAACGGTCCCTGACAGGAGGGGTTGCAGGTGGGGTAGCCCAGGAACGCGTTGAACGACTCGGTGAGTGTCTGTGAGCTTTACTGGAATCCAGACCTGCAACAGCCATGACCTGGAAAGGGGAGGAATTTTCAAAGTTAGTCAGCCTCAAACCACCAAGCTGAGGTTCGTTTCTCATTTCAGCAGTTAGTTCAAAACAACTGTTTAGGCAGCAATATATAAAGTGACACTTTCTGATATTTAATAGTCATATAAAGGAGAAACAGGACTGCAATTGCACAAAACACATGAGTTTGCCTAAAACTGCTTACTTAAAGATCTTGGTATTTCCCCTGAAGCAGTAAATCGGTGCAGGATCTTCAGGAATTCACCCAGGTGATCAATTCAAAGGCAGCTGACTTAGTAATGTAAGTTTTTATGCAGGTATTGATGATTTCACAAGCATTCTGTGTGGATTCTCCAGGCTAGCGGAAATCACTAGCTTTTTAAAGATATTCAGAGCAGTTTGATGAGCCACGGAAGATGTGCATGTTGTACTTGCAGATTCTCACAAATATGACTAACTGGGGATAACCTCTTTGCTTTCAGTGTATTTTGGAAGGTATTTGAGAAGCCTTGCAGCCAGCAACTACAAGAGCATGCCATACACATGCTTAGCAGCAGCGCATAGGCAAACAGCATAGCCCAATAGCACTGTTTCAAACAGTCATCGAAGTGGTACAATAAGCTAAAATGACATAATTATTACTTAAAAAAGGTCTTGGATTTACCTGCTGTTGCATTAAGTGAAGTGGTAAAGCAGTGCGGTGGTGGAAAGAAGGAGAGAGTGGTATTTCATCTTGACTACTTTGTCGGCGGAGGCATTCAAAGTTAAAGGAAGATCGTCTATTTGCTACAGGAGAACCAGAATTTATTAGAAAAATAAAAAACTTTTTTTTTTTCTTCTCAAAGTCCAGTATTTCAATAAATCTGGTGTGGGTCAAATGTCACACAGACAAAAAGATATCTCCCCATCCCCGATAAGAAATGTTAATAAATTATGTTGATTAACAGAAGCAGGCAAAAGACTACAAGGGAGAGTACAGATTCCTCATGAGCAAATATAGCTGCAGGGAGAAACCATACGAGCACCCAGCACAAGAATTTGAAGCAGTCATGTTTTGCAAAGCAAGCATTTGTTAGGCAGCAGATTGGTTCAGACACTTCCAAGTTTTGCTGTAAAATGACCTAGGGTTCCCAGAAGATATGCCAAATCCCCAGTTCCTTGCAAATATCAATAGGGAGAATAACAAAGAAATTTTTGCAAGTCAAAGGCAATTAATGTTATAGTTTCCTGGTTTCTGTTCTGTTACTTATGACAACAGCAAACTACGATTTGTGCTGTTATGAAGGACATTCACTATTCATGTAAATGCTGGAAAGCAAAAAGCAGAAATCCTAACCAGATCAAGATGTTTGACTGATGCAGAAATGTTTCAGTTGGTCTCAGTGGGACCCTCAACACTGACTGGGGTGGGGGGTGCCCTGCAGCCAGCTCCTAGGTATCATTTCTCTGTGTCATTTTCAGCATGAACAAAATCATGATGTTGAACAGCAACTGAAATCCCAATACAGCCTTGCAGCCTCAAACCCCATACTGTGAAACTGGAAAAATGCACAGCAAATAAATGAAATTGTTCTCTCTTGAAGCTATTGAAAGTATTCTTGCTGATTTTCAACATCCTGAATTTGTGAGAAGTATCACTACTTTGATTCCTCACTTATAGTCATGACGTTTATCACTAGACCTGTACTGCTGGACGCTAATGAGGAAATCTCTGAGGCTTTACAAGCTAAACCAAGAGTGTTTCCTATCCATGATGTATCAAAAGTCAAAGACACAAATCCAAGAGCTTTCAGTCTTTGCCTATTCATAAGAGGTTTTGGAAACGCAGATAATACAGTACTGCACTTGAGATAATGGGAAGCCAAAAATCTGAGAAGGAAAATTAAGGAAACAGGTGAAAAATCTGAACACTGCCCAGAATGTATACAAGTCTATTAGCTCATCCATGCAACAAGATAGGTCACTAATGCAACCTACAACTTCATGATGGAAATGTTTTCTCTCTCAGAAGGAATGTCCAGAGTTTTAAGCAGAGATGTTTCTGAGAGGGCAGAATGAAGTTCAGTGTGAACCTGAAATGGAATGCTTAGCCCAGGATAACAGTTTTATTTTTCACAGGAACTTGAGAAACTCCCATTAAAACCTAATGGCCTCTCAAAAGTACCAGGAGAGAGAAAAAAACAATCACCATTAAAGTCACTCTTAGTTCTGCTTTCCCTGAAAATTATCATACTTCAATCTCTAGTGTTTGCTAAAATAGGTTGAGGTAAAGATGTAAATGGGACCAATTACAATGTCACTAGAAGTCTGAGTTAAACAGCAATGGGAAGTGCCAGCAGGTGAGTCACTAGAGAGACAACAGCTCTGGCTGACACATTGTAGGTATGAATAAAGAGCATAGAGATCAAAAACCTCTGATAAAAGTTTTGAAAGAAACCACTATTGCATTCTACCTTGTTCTGTCTTCATTTATCAAATCAAGTCAGAACTACCAATTAAATATTTTTATATTATTTGATCAGTGATGCAAGAGATGTTAGAAAGATTCCCTCAGATGCTGGTGCAGGCCTCTGGCAGCCCGTCTCCCAGGCAGTTTCAGAGCAGAGCTGTGGTTCTATGAGCACTCTCCCATGGTGGTAGCTGCTTCTGCTGCATGCAACATTCTGCTAGCAAAGTTCATCAAACAATGTCATGCTTAAAATCAGAGGCACAAAGAAGCCTTTTGAATGAGAAGCTCTCAATGAATTTAAATTATTCTAGATTTGCAAACAAGCTGATGCCAAGCTACTTACGTGTTGGTGTTGGAGGTAGCAGACGTCTCCTAGGAGATCTTTTTGTATCATAACACATCTGAGAATCATCTTCCTCAGAAAACCCATGTGGATGATGATAGCCTTTTGGTCTCTCGAAATCTGAGTCACGACAGTGATATCTACAGTGGTAGTCATACATATGCCTGAGTTAAAATACAGTAAATAAAATATTATTTCAGTGAGTTTCCATAAGTTTACTTATTGGCATTTTTCTAGATAACTTTGAAACATTTCCTCTACACAAGATAAAGAAATAGAACCAGGCAGACCCATGTGGCTTAGTCATAAACATCTCATTTCTGTATGCAAACTGATTTTGAGAAAATGAAAGTTGATACAGCTTAGTTTCTAACTTACATAGACCGATTTTGAGAAGTCTGCAAAACTTAGCTTTTATGCAAACCAATAAGAGGCAGTTTAGGGAGCCAATCCTGTCATAGCCAGGTGGCAAAGAAAGATAGGAGGAGACACATGGCTGGGACATGAGCACATGCACTTACAGATCTAATACAGAATGGAAACAAGTTCTTCTTCTGAACTGGACCTCAAAGTAGAAAAAAAAAAAAAAACAAGATAAAAGTGAAGGACACTCGTGTGGAGTTGTTTCATTTATTCTGCAAAGATGAAGCATATTTATTGCAAAGGAGGTGAGGCTTCTCATGAATCTGCAAGTGCAAATATCTTTCACTTCATAATGAGAAAGGGAATATTATTGAATTCAAAATTCATCAGGTATTGGAAGAAAAGGGGCATATTAAAAAAAAAAAAAAAAGAAAAGAAAAACAAGTAGAGGTTCTGTTTCATAACAGGTATGTACTTCAAAAATACCAGAACAATCTCTCTCTTCAAGACATAATCAGAGACTCCCAATCAACTGCAGATTTTCTTCTAAGTTTCTCCAAACATTTCCTGGACGGCTGCATCTGAATGGCTGAACTGCAAAGCCAGGACCTGCTGTTGCAGAAGCTGTGGCTTCCTGAAGGCAACGTCACAGTGATAGTGCTAGAGCCAAGGTTAACAAATGTCCTCACCTGTTTCCTGGCAACATACTGTCTTCCTCATAATATTCTTCTCCACTGAAATAATCCTGCTCTCCCAAATAATGATCATCATTGCAGTAGTCCTGAACTTCACGTTCTTCACGGCAAATAGTAGGATGACGCCCATCACCAGAGTCAGATCTGAAAGTGGCAAAGAAATACTTGGGACTAATTATATTGCATTCACAATTCTATTAGGCGCTTTCCAGGAAAAAAAAAAAGAAAAAAAACATTAAAAAACCTCTTTCAGTCAGAATGCAGTTGTACAGTAAATTCTGTGGAATGATAGAACATCATAGAATGTATCTAATCTCTTAAAGATCATCTCCCTTAATTTCCTTACAATACAATTATGAAAAGCATTAGTATGGTGGTGATGAGTAAGGCAAATATATTTCAGACATTTTTGAAAAACACAAATTCAGAGTACTGTGAAGAAAAGTAGCCTCTATCAAATGCCTGAAGTTTGGCAACTTATTTTATTTTGGCAAGTTATTAAGGAGCATTCAATTAGGTCTTCCAAGAAAAATCTGAAACAGATGTCTAAATTCAGACATTAAAAACTACCACAGGATGTAGATTGTTATATACTTCAAATAGGAGAACTATTAAAAACTCATCACGTATGTCTTGCTAAATAGTCATTTTTGAAAGTTATACTGCTTTTTCTCCCAGAAATTCAGAAAAAGGTGATTTTTAGTTATGTCAGGGTAGTTTAACTCACCTTATGTAGGTTTCATAGTAGCGAGTTCTGTCCAGGTGAGCCATGAAAATATGGAGAAAGTTATTTTTAAAATCAGGTAGTTCCCAGAAATTCACTGGTAATGACAGTGGCTGAGCTGCAACTAATTATTTTGTCTTAAAGAAAACTATTTTCAAACTTTAGTATGCCAATATAATATATACTTTGCTATATACTTTCTCCATACATAGTATATTTTAAATAAGTTACATATAACATAAGCAAAAAAAAAATTAAGTACACCTATAAATTTATTTTCATGTAGCATACTATCTTTTCTTATAGCACAGTTTATGTAAACAGAGCAAGTATCCTAGCTTTACCTCCTACTGCTCGGCCTTCTACGCTTCTCATGCTCAGCTCTGGAGTATGAACGGTAACCGTTTTCCGATCTATGCTCATGATTTCCAATATTGATGTGTTTTCCATGAACAACTTTGGACATGTTGGCATTATTAAGATTGGCATTTGTTGAGTTTGGAACATGCTTTCCTACAGAGTTGTGATTGTGGTATACAGAATTTCCTGCCTGAGAATACATGTTTTTCTCAATATCACTTGCAGAATGAATTGAAGGTCGCTGAACATGTAAGGGACGGTGTGTGGTGTTGATCTGTTGAAATGAATCTCGTCTGTCGCTGCTAATATGGTTTATGTGGTTGCCAAACAGGGCACCATTTCTCTGTTTTGGGAAAAGAGAAAAAAAATCAGATGACAGAACATATTTTTCACAGTGGTAGCTTATTTTTCATTTCTACATGCATACAAAAGTAACCGATTCGTGTGATTTTTCATTCTAATTTTATAATGCTTCAGATGAGATCTCCTAGAGTGATATCGATGTGATGGTGATAATGACGGTATTCGTACCTCAGAGTCAAATCAACACTATGAAGTGATCATTAATCTTTTTGCTTACAAGTAAAAGTGACACCCAGCTTTTTCCATGTCTGCATTGGCTGGGGAAGCCTAGATTTCCACACATGCACTAGCTGCCTCAGAAAAGAATGTATCTGCTCAGCTTTGGGAACACCCTGGGGGATCCTTTCCCTTCCCTGGGGGCCTTGCTTTGCTGAGTGTCGCTCAGACAGAACCAAGTGCCATGCAACAGCTCACGAGTGTCTCTGCAGTAAACTAACTAAAGCTTCAGTGGTTCCACTCCTTCTCCTCACTGAGGTACAAGACAGAGCAGTAACTGCTTAGCAGCCCTGAGAGGGTAAAGGAAGGTGTGAAGGAATGAAGTGGTAAACTGTGTTGTCAAAAATACAGCTACGACATGCAGCTCTGTTTTACATCTGACCCAGATTACGTAGCCTCCCTGTCTAGCCAGGTGTGGGTCTTGGATGACAGCAGTCTGTCCTGAAGCTGAATATAAAGAAGACAGGAGGTAAGATGACAGTTGGCAGAGAAATGCATCTACTGATGGTAACTGGGGCACTGTCTCCACACCCTCGTCCATAGTTAAGGAGCTTGGGGACTTCTGACTTAGCTGCTGTACTGATTTTACATCTTCTTCTGAATTGCTTGTGGAAAACTATGCTTTCTTGCTGGCTAATGCCTTGCAATAGCTCCTGGTTATAATATTGACTTGAAACATTCATTGTTGGATTGAAAATCTAGAATGTAAAAAGAGAAGAAAAATATTTTTCTGTGATAGATTCTTACTGATATCCCTCACAGGAAATCAAAACTGGCCCTTATGTTTAGTTGGCTTCAGTGTAATTCCAGGCATTTGTTTTAAACTATACAGCCCTACAACTGTTGTGATTTGGCTGCCCAGAATTTCTTCTCTTGACTCTATCTACCACTGCAGAAGCTAAGATACCAGTAGCTTCAACCATGCCACTGCCACTGTCACAGTCTGAGATGGCTAATTTTCTAGGCTCATATTTTAAAAAAATAAATAGAGAGGAAAAATAGTGAAAAAGAATTAAGGGCAGGAGAATGACATTACACTTAAGAACTACTTTCTAAATTGTTGATGAAATGCAGGTGTATTAATGACATCATATGTGTGTGCATACATACACACGTACATATACATATGCCTTTGTTATTATTATTTCATATTCAGCGATGATATCGTTCTAGAAATATCTTACTATATAATTAAATAATTCATCATGTAATTATGTTCTGACATTACTTTATACACATCTTCTTCTTCTTCTGGGTTGTTTTCTTCTGGTTCATCATCTTGCAAGTCACAGGATATAGCTCGGCGTATTTCAGGGCCAATATCATGAAGTGTCCTCAGTCCCGCCTAAATCAATGACAATCAATATCATAGCATGTAAGGAGAACAGAATATTTTTCTAACCTTAATCACAGGCATGTATAATTTGTAATGAATAGTCAACAAGGGTTTGTATCCTGACATACACACAGTAACTATATGTCTCTTTAGTATTATTAACAGCAGCATTATTTTCCACTATAACCCGTTGAGGTGGTCACGTCTTCACTATTTCAGTGAAAAGTCTTAGTAAAAGACCTCTGATGTTTATGGACCACTGTGGGGAAAAATAATCTTACAATAAAACATCAAGAAATTGTCATCAAGAACTATAATAAAACATGTTTCAATGAGATGTATATTTAACTAAAAAAAAAGAAAAGGCGCTAGCAGCCTCTCCGTCCATAGAGGAAGCACCAGGAGATTTTTGCTAGAACAGCAGCAAGTTTAACAGAGCTCAGAGGAAAAAGGAAGGAGTGAATAATTCCAGCTCATCTACACTGCACTGTGGTATGTGGATGCTTGATTTAAAGCTTCGGTTTAGGACATGAAGCAGTACAGCAGCAGTAGCGTGGACCTCAGCACATGCAGTTCATTATCCTTCTCGAGCCCAGGATGAGAGCTCGTTCACACTGCCCATCACGTTCCTGGAGCACAGCACAGCATGCGGGCAGCTTGCACCCCAAAAAGGAAAGAGTTCTTTTGAGGGACAGCAAAACAGCATCAGGACCTGGAAAAGGATGAACCAACAAGCTACATATCCAGCAGTATAGATTTACCTTAAGTTCCTCTTCAGGTTTCATTTGTACCAGTATTTCACTTCCTGAAAATGGTGCTCGACTAAGCATATCAGTCTATGTATTTTTGGGAATTGTATTTTCTTCCCTGGGGATGAGCTCTGAGATTGATATTATAATTGAACATATCACAGAATCACAGAACGGTTAAGGTTGGAAGGGACCTCTAGGGATCACCCAGTCCAACTCCCCTGCCCAAGCCGGGGCACCCAGAGCACACGGCACAGGGTGGCATCTCTCTCAAATTTTTTACCAGTGGCAACATACAACACAATTTTCATGAATCCATTGTGCTTCCTCCCACCTTATGAAAAGACCTACCAAAGACTAGGTAAAACACATGCAAGAGACATGTTTAAACACTGTTTCTACAAAGATAACACTAATCAAAACTGCACATTGAATTATTCATACTGTTTTGCAGTAGGGCATCTGTTGTTGCCTCTCAATTTTTTTTTTTTTTTGAAATAGTGAAAGAAAAGAGATTCATGTTACTGTGTTTGACAGCCTCTAAATAAATTTCTGAAATTTTACTCTACATTTGAAAAAATTAACATGTTTTCTTATTCAGACACCTCCTGTATGATGTATCCTTGATGCCTTCCGTGCTTAAATTTTCCTCCAGACATAGAAAAGATGAGATGGATCAGTCCAGTGGCTAGTTAGCAAACTGGGGACACTGAGTACAATGAAAAACATAATTACATAATCAAAAAAACTCATGTCCTTAAATAGACTTTCTTTTAAATGCACAAGATGAATTCAAATTACCACGATAATTCCATGCAGCTGTGCTTTACAAGGCGTAATAGCACCTGCAGTGTTTTCAAGATGGCATAAGGCACTAATACACCAGTGCTGTGTGCTAAATAGCATCTCGAGAGACAACTAATGATGCCCCTGTCTCTGACAAGGCATTGGGATGACACACATGTTCTTTTAAATGCTAAAATAATAGAACTGTAGGAGTCTTAGTGAAAAGTGTCATATGAGTAAGAGCTGTTTTTTCTGAATTGGTCATTTACAGAGAGACTATAAAGATACTTGAAAAGAACCTCGCTCAATAATACCTGAACATTTAAAAGTTGACTATAAAGATACTTGAAAAGAACCTCAATAATACCCAGAACATTTAAAAGTTACATTTAACACACCCCAAATAACTATTCATAATCAGTTTTATACATTTACAGTATGCATAAAGTAAAACCATTTTGTATATGCATTTTTTTACAATGTTTTGTAATATAAAACTGTACAATGCAAGTTTCTAATCAAAAAATCTTAGATGCTTATAAACACTAGAAGGACTCTAAAATGCAAAAAGATAATTTTCAACATATCTAAAGTCAACCCACATCATTTTTAAGATATGGTACAACCTAGATATAGATGGAGTTTAAGCTTAAGAAATATAATCACGATACTCTAAATAATAAACACTATCACCACAGTATTTTAAAATCTATCACCACATTCAATTAGAATACAACATAAGCAGCCCTCTCTCTTTCAAAATGCTCTATGGTGACATCAGGAAATTAAAGAAATATTTGAAAGCTTTAAGCTAATATCAAAAACCACAAAATGAACAAAACCCCCAACACTACAGAAACTTAAAAAGTAAGCTGAAGTTAGTATGAACAGAATACCACGCACTAAGAAATTCAAAGAAAATAATCATGCAGAAAAATAGCAGAATAGACCTACGCTGTAGCAGTGAACATAAGAGACATAGTAATCAAGTCTCGATTCCCCGGTGTTATTCATCTTCACAGAGCCCATCTCCCAACACCGACGCCAAGCGCGCTGCTCTGCAGCCACCCCAGAGCGCTGCGCTGCCCGTCAAAGGCAGCTCCCTGCAGTTCAGCCTTTCTGTGAACAGTTCATTGAAGTTGAGCAATGTTAACCCCTCAGCTGATGCACACGAGAAGTCTGTGGTGATGTTTTTTATTCTTTTTTTCTTTTTTTTCCCTTTTTTTCTCTCTAAGCATAATGTTGAGCCAAAAGTTGCTTACCAAATTTGCATAGAAAAAAAAAAAGGCTTAAATGAATCCAAAACATGCCCCCAAGATCAAGCTAAACTCAATCAGTGTTTTGTGAATTTGTGCCATGAAGGGAAACATCTATTGACTTTTATGTATTAACAAAGAGGGATACATGTAAATATATATGAAATACTTGTTTTACCCAGTACAGAGAAAATTATCTTTCCTAGGAAAAATAGAGTGAATGAATTAATTCCACACTGTGGAATTAGATGCAAGTAATTAAAGCTGTTCGTGCTTCACTTAACATTTATTTTACCAGCAATGTGACTGCTGTTAGGCTCAATACAAATTTCCATCACCACAAAAAGTCACCTCCTAAACTACTGCTACAAATATAACTTGTTCCAGTTTTGCTCTCACAGTGTATTCATAGCATAAAAAAGCACTATAAGCAATTCAGTCCAAAGGATTTTTTTGTCTCATTTCCAAACAGCATCTCTAACATCATAAAAATGTCAGTTGGTGCCAAACCAGGTAAGTTCAGACTCATGTTCCATCACTTCAGAATGACCTGCATTTATTCCTCCCGTAAGAAGGGCTGAAAAAGTGCTAGGCCTGCACAAGGCACTCAGATGGCTCCAAGGGTTTTGGCTATTTGAATTCTGAACATGATTTTGGTGCTAGCTGAGACAAACTGCAGTTGGTTATAAATTGAAGTGTCCTCTTTTAACTGAGGAAGAGTTTGAGACATCATGGCATTAAGGGAAGAATTTACTCTAGCCTGAGCAGATAATCCTTTTAGAGCCACCTCACTTTATAAAGTACTTCCTCTTCTGAGCTATGACTTTAAGGAAAACTAAACTATACAAAAGTAACATCGCCCTGAATGCAATTACTGTCAAGTAAAAGTGAGACCTCTGCCTACCACAGGATGGTATTTATGAAACAAATAGAATCCTGCAGGTTATTTGGTCCTGATTTCCTGACTCAAACCCAACTTTGATTCTCCTCCTCAAACACAATTTTCCTGATCCATTTTTCCCTGCTTCATTTGGGCCAAGGCTCTGACCCAAATGCAGTGGGACAGCAGCCAGTGCAATTCTTTTGAAAGGGTGGCAAATATTGGCCTCGTGTAAACAAGCAAAATTCAGCCAAAGAATGAGATTTGCACAGGCTTGCACAGGTCTAATTGCTAAAACTCTTAATGCCTTAATGATAAAACTAAGTATCTCTACTATCATATTTTCATTTCGTTCCCTAGATTAGTTTAATACATTTACATTACATTATTAGCACAGTGCAAGGTAAGTAATTTATCAAAATAAGAACAAAGTCTCAGTATCTTGTAAAGGGAAAAAATCATGACAAGTTATAGAGAAATGGCAGGTGGAGAAATAAATCTTTTAAAACATGTTTTTTAAACTTTTTTTGTTTTCCTCCTAGGGAAATCCAATACCTATTTCACATATATTCAATCATATTAAATAACCGTCACTGATCAAGATAATCTATAACTTCCTCTTACTAAACAGCTCTCAAAGGGCAAAGGCAGCAGTTTTAAGAGCACTGCATGAAGAGTAAAGCCCAGTTAGCACAAATTCAAAGTGAAAGAAGAATCAACAGCAACAGCTTTAAAGAATTGGTTCAATTTTGTTTGTAGTAAGGCAGGGTAAATCCCTGTTATCTATAATGCTCTCTGAACCTGGAGAAAAAAAACTTGCTATCTCTTCTTGATGTCTCGCTGTGAGGCCAGAGAAGCAGCAGCCAAAAGGATCCTCTTTATCCAATTCCTATAGCAATGAGGATTTCAGCACAGACCTCTCTCGATCAATATGTTTTTCTCTTTCTTTGCCTCAGAAGGTCGGGTATTGCTCAAAATCTTCACTGGACTATCCTGAGCTCACAAAATTTTACCTTGTTTTATGTACTTTTTTTGAACTAGCTAAAGAAGATGTACTTGACTCCTTATCTTTTACACTAGTATATTTCAAAGTGTTTATTTAAAGTTGCTGACATGTCTTTTTATGACCTTTCACCTTTGTTATGAAGATGTTGCTCTGCACTTCTGCAGAATTTTTATCTCTGATATCAAAGTCTTAAAGTTCTTAAATTATTGCTTATCGTTTTTCTCTACTGAGGTTAACAGTAGTCATTCTATCAGGAAGAGTAGCATGAGAAGTAAATATTTTAAGCAGGTTTAGCTAAGCACTTGGTATCCAAATTAATACCCCAGAATACA